TCTTTGACAATACAGCAGAAGGACTAGCCTATGTTGGCAGCTTTAACACTGAATTCCGTGTGTATTGTTTCAAGATAGTTTCATTGCCTATATGTAAGCGTGCTACAACGCGGCTCTCAAACAAAGGAGTAACAAGTGTTCTACTATCACTGCTAGACTAGATCTTTGGTTCTCTCATGCAGTGGTTTATCAGAGAGGGGAAGCATTCTATCGCGGCATGAACCAGCAACGCCAGCCATAAACCTACCGTCTCTAACACTCCACTATGAAGCATGAAATTAAGCCCGCCCACCAGCAACAAAGTGCAAAAACTAGCCAAAGGGAGGGAATATCCCTTAAAGTTATAAATTCTAAAATTATAACTGTAGCATGCATAATATAGATTTTGTCTTTAAATTTAGCAAAATTGTTTCAATTTTTTTTCTCATGATGGGCATGACTTTTCTCGAGTAACATTTGAAATGGGCCTATGTCCAAAACGGGTTTTGAAAAAAAAAATGGGTTTTGATACCATTCTTTAGCACCGCTTGATAGCTACTAATCGTGTAGGAAAGTTCCGCATAATCGATAAAATTCATTAAAAATAGCTCGATTTTCGAAACGGCCGATTGTCGAAATTTTTTGATTCAACCATTAATTTATTTCATTTCATTGATAAGCCTAGTGGCGTAGAAGGGCCGATGGTTGAAAATTTTCAAACCAAAGCTAGGCCCTACTGCTTGAGACAGGGCCGATGATTTGTTTTGAATTTATTTGACGCTGCGAAAAGGCTTATCAAACGGCGTACCATTTCTGATGAGAAGCACAACGGCTTAACAAAAATGGCCTAAGCATTGAAAGATTCACAAAAAGGCTTGTCAATTTATGAAATTAAATTCTTGATGAACATTTCAAATGTACCTATCTGCTTTGATCGATTCTGTTCATTGACTTTCTCTTTTCATAACCACTGCTATGCAAACAGATTTCGCACTAATTCTACCACATAGTTTGATAAAGGAAGTTCTTATATATCGTCCAAAACGTCAAATACAACAGGGAAAGGTTTTGCAGCTGAGTTACTGACGAAAGAGAAAGTCAATGAAGAGGATCGATCAATGCAGATAGGACCTTTTTTGAAAAGTTTATCTAGAATTGTTATTGTTTTTCATATATTTTTGAAAGTTTTTCGCATATTTCAGATCTTGTTTACTGAGATACAGTTACTATAGTTCTTGTTAACAATATAAATGCCTAAAATACTTAAATTTTCTTAAATATGAATTGAATAGTGGCGGTAACATTTTAATCTCATTTTCTGGTTTGTTTACGTTTTAGACATAGGCCCATTTCAAATGTTACTCTAGATTTCTTCACTTACAAGAGTGTCTGTTGGTAAGCGTGATTACATCTCACCCCAGCAGGCCTGGGTTCAATCCCAGTCGGCACCGCCGGGATGTTCTGAGACATAACATCTCTGATCACGCCTTCCTTCGGATGGGAAGTAAAGCCGTTGGTCCCAGGTCCATGAGTTGAAAATTGAATAAAAGTTGAAAATGAGCGAAGGGCCATTAATGCGACAGTACAAGCCAAACGCACACTTCTCTACCTAACTCGTACAATGTACGAGGAGATTTTATCCAAGGGGATGCCTTTTCTAATATGGTAGCGGGAGTACGTGTAATTGTCATCTTCTTTTTTTTTCTTTTTCTTCGCATTTATAGATTATAGTTTATCGCATAGTAGCTTATTGTGTGCTCTCAACTTAGTGTTCTAGATGCACTTCCACAGTTATTAATTGATAGCTTTCGGTTCCTGTACCATTTCTGCATTAGTATAATTATGTGGCAAGTTCAATCCTACACACTTATCCAGTCAGTAATTTTTACCGAGTTTTTGAATTGCGGAACTGTTCGGTAAAATTTAAAAAATCTGTGAAAAATTCAAAGTTGAGTAAATGTGTTACGAAAATTTACAGACTTACTTCTGTTAACCCCGTTTAACGATGAAAAAAAAAAATTTGTCAATTTTATCGAATCTTACGAATAACGGTCATTTGAATTTTAACCGAGTTTTTCAGTAATTCAAAAACCCAGTAAAAAAATACTGACTCCTGTAAAAAATTCTAAGTGTGTACTCTATTCCCAGGAAAGTTGAGAAATTTTCCAATCCGAAAAATTCCTAGATCGGACCGGGAATCGAACCCAGCCACCTCCAGCATCGTTTTACCATGTAGCTGCACCTTTACCAACTGAGTTAAGAGAGGCCCAGTAGTTGTGATATATACATTAATTAAATTGATGATCGGAACGTGGATCATTGGGACCACGGGTTGGTCCTCCTGAAGATCTGGAATATTTAAGATCAAGTGGTGAATTCATGAATTTCTAAAGATAAATGAATATATTTGAAAATAAGACTGGGATATGGATCGTCACTATACGTGACCTTGAACAATTACAGAGTTCTAGGATCAGTTTCGTGAATTATTATGAATTTCACCGAAGTTCCGGATCGTCTCAAGAGCTACTGTGTACCTACTAGAGAGGGTCTAGTATTAAGCTAGAAGAGAATTGAAAACAAACTGCCTTGGCATCCTATGCCTAGGCGGTTTCTAAAAACACTGCCAATGAAATCAAGATAGCTCTGGCTTTGACAATTCGTTTGACTCAAAACCAGCCAATTCAATTCTCGCTTATACTTGACTATCTCTACTCTGTACCCCTCCGAGAGTTCACATTCCGATCCCATGTCTCAATTATTTTACGTAGCATCAGTACAATTGATTTAAAAAAAAATCTTGAAATAACCATTTTAACGGCTGTTCCGAATCTTCCTCAGACCTCAGATTCAAATTCATTCATGTAACGTTCGTACAATATATGACTTATAACTTTCTTGAAGTACAACTTTCAGAAAACCTCTGATATAATTCTTAGGTGAGATTTGTTGTTGATAGTGAATATTTAGCTAGCTCTTTGTGTTTTCAATTGAACTTTTAAATCTGGTTGTACCAACTTATTTGTAATTCATGGAGTTTTTTTAAAAGATCAATCAATAAATGAAATACTGCACCATATTTGAGTAAAACCTTACGTACCTTACCAATCAGGCTAAAGCCTTGTTGACCTCTGCTGTCCGGGGAAGTCATCTCCACTCTACTCGGTCCATGGCCACACTTCGCCAGCCTCGTAGTCTGCGAAGGGTCAGCAGGTCGGCTTCTACTTGGTAGATCCACCTTACCCGCTGCGCGCCTCTCCTTCTTGTTCCTGTTAGGTCGCTTTCCAGAACCATTTTCACTAGGACGTCGTGCGGCATTCTGACGACGTGCCCAGCCCACCGTAGTCGCCCAATGTTTGCAATGTGGACGATGGATGATTTTCCCAGCAACTGGTGCAATTCTTGGTTCATTCGCCTCCTCATCGTTCCGTCACTCCACCGTAGATGGTACCTTCCATTCGAAAACACCAAGGGCACGTTGGTCGTCCATGAACATAGTCCAGGACTCGTGGCCATAGAGGACCACCGGTCTAATCAGCGTCTTGTAGATAGTCAACTTCGTGCGGCGGTCAATTTTATTCTACCGGAGCGTCTTCCGGAGTCCAAAGTAGGCACGATTCCCTCCCATAATGCGTCTTTGAATTTCTCTGCTGGTATCATTTTTGGCAGTCACCAGTGAGCCCAAATACATGAACTCATCGACCACCTCGATTTCGTCACCGTCACTCGGGGTGGGAGGCTAACATTGTCTTCCCTAGAACCTCTTCCTTTCATGTATTTTTTCTTCGATGCATTGATGGCAAGTCTAGTCCACCTAGCTTTAGCCTGCAGTCTGATGTACGTTTCTACCATCGTCTCAAAGATCCGTGCCATGATGTCGATGTCATCGGCGAAGTCAAGAAGCTGGATGGACTTCCTAAAGATCGTGAGACTCGTTTCTATCCCAGCTCTTCTGATCACACCTTCTAACGCGATGTTGAATAGCAGACACGAAAGTCCATACCCTTGCCTTCTTGATTCAAAGGGACTCGAGAGTATCCCCGATACTCGAACAACGCACATCACTCGATCCATCGCCGCGTCAGTTTATCCGGATATCCGTACTAGTGCATAATCTGTCATAGCTGATCTCGATCGATTGTGTCGTATGCGGATTTGAAATCGATGAACAAAGTAAAACCTATATGGTCAATACCTTGGACCTGTGATGTGAAATGGGTACCAAGTCGGATTCATATACTCTAAAACTAGCAAAAGCAATAGGGTTGGTATTTGGAATTGATTCTTATTGCTCTGAAACAGTAACAATTTCTTCTTCTGCTGAGTGACACAAGCTTGAAAATGGATGGCTTTCTTGAAAGACGGATCAACAGCAACATGCTAATCGCTACCGATACAACACCAACTCCAAAACTTATAACCTTCAAATTTAACGATGTCATAATGCAAAACAAAACACCTCTCGTTAATTAAACCCTCATAGCAGCACGTCTATTTGGACAATGCAGCTAAACAGCTGGAAAGCATAATATAATAAAGGACAAGCGCCTTACACGTTCCAGCTACCGCAAAGCACTAAACATAAAAAGCCAAATCCAACGGCAAACATACGCTTCCGTTAAGCTGCTCCATCCCATCTACATGCCATGCTGCCGCTAAGCTCGACATCCCATTAAGTTTCGGATAACGATTGCTGCCAAGTAAAACTTCAATTACCGGATACGGAAAAGTTTTTGCCGCGGAAAATCACAATCCCTGTCATCCCACATTATTGACAAAATCTTTCGCCCGTGTAAATCCCTTCCAGATAAACAGAGCATTCCGGCACCAGCTGCCGGCAGAAATTAGCTAATTAGATGCGGGAATCTGTCTCTGCGTCCTTCTCCCCTTCATGGCATCATCTGCACATGGTTTCTGCGTCTGTCTCTCTACCCACAAGTAAGTATTAGGCAGGGCCAGGACTATGTATAGTAGGTAGGTAGTGCAGCTTTTCCCGATTGAAATAAATTTACATCACTTACCAAAGTCAATAGAAAACTCCTCCGTTGTTCGAGCGGAAGCGGGCTCGTTAGCGGCAGAGATGGTTTTCCTTCCCGCCGACACCTTCGCATCCTTTTTCGGGTGGATTCCTGCTTCCACATCGTCGCTGCCGTTCCCTTGTCTAATCTGACCTATTATCGGACGATTTTGGCAAAGCTCCTTCTCCGACTGGAGCAGGCAACTTTCACGCCGCTCAAATTTATCACCATAATCCCTGGGGTATTTTTCTTCTACGGCATCGACGTCGTTGTCCTTTTTGCCTTTGCTCGCAGAAGGCCTCCCTCTGCCAGCCACTAACACTTGCCGTCCCAAACCTGGCTGCTGTTGCCCCATGTTCGTTTCCTGCCGTTGTCGCAGACGACTGACGCAATCATTATTAGTCTTGCTGGAACCAATACCACCGACACCGTCTTCATCAGCAGCAGTTGTAGCCGTAGGTCCATCGGCAAGTGGGAATCTTTTTTTAGCCACTGGGTCGGTGACAGCATAGGTCTGATTGCCTCCGCCGTAGCCATGGTCGTCGTCGGTGGGCCGCTCCTCTTCCGGCAGTGATATCTCACAATCGGAATCAATCAAAATTGTGCGCCTGGCTGGCCTGATGAGAGATGGGAGAAAAATCGTCGAAGAAGGTATAAGAGGAGCATCTTGGTCAGTAATTGAGCGGAAATCAGCAATAGGGCTCGAGTGGATTTTGAGACCTTTGTGCCGAGTCGAAACTTCAAGTGCTATTCAAAGGTGCTGGGTGGCAAAATGGCAATTGTTCGATTCAGTTTAAGAATTTTGTGGTAAAATATATCCATAGTCTGAATGATTATATATATTTTTTTAGAATTTTTGATTTAGCATACGTCGAAATGTGTTTTGTCAATCTGCTTTGCAATCAACGATTTGAACGTTCAGAGGAACCTTGCAGTTTGTATTGGAAAATGTGTGCCAATGCGTTATACGATTAATATATCGTTTTTTTTGTTGACGTAGGACTACGTCTGTGATTTCTATGTGGGGGTACACTTTGTGAAAACCAAAAATGGAACATGTAACAAAATTAGGAAAGATTTTGAACAATAATAACTCAGCTGCCCCTGGACCAATTTCAATAATTTTATCACCAATCGATCAGAAATATTTCTACGCATCTAATTTAAGACTTCATCATTTTTAAAAATGTCACTATTGAAATTTGCACGAATGTGCAACTGTTTCTATGATAGTTAAAAATTTCACCGATTGCCTGCGAAAAGCGATTTTCCTAACACGGATTTCAAAGTTGAATTCCATCCGGTCTCACTAAACGGTGTTTATTCAATCACCGCGTGATGAGTGGTGGTGTTCTCCAGTTCACAACAAAAGGCTGCCTGCAAGCAGCGAGCTGCAGCTCACATGAGCATCCATAGAAGGAGGAAGAAGCAGCACCGCTATTGATCAGAATCAGTAGCTCTTCGTGAGTCGCTGTGTTCCATCTACGTCAAGCGCGTCATACTAAAGAGCCAGGGAGGCAGCTCCCATACCTGGATCCTAACTATCGACCCATCAACTCATGAACCGGGGAAAAATGGTTTTAATTCCCTTACGGAGGAAGGCGTGATCGTAGATGTTATGCCTCAGAACATCCCGGTGGCGCCGACTGGGATTGAGCCCAGGCCTGCTGGGGTGATACAATATCTTTAAATAGCATAAGACAAATGCTTTGACATAATAGAAAATAGTTCCATATGTCAGACCAAAAGGTAATTTATCGTTTCAAGTTTCTAAGGTCTAAGAGAAGTACGGCACTTTTTTCTACATTTTAGAAATTGGGAATGATTTCTAATGTCGATGTTTCTCTCTTTGACACACGCTCAATTTATTAGAATGTTATTGTTGAAATGATTTTTTGCATCGTGATAATGTTTTGCATAGTTGAGGATTTTCCAATTTGGTTCAATACTCATGCATGGGAGTGGCAAGGTTTTGATTGAGGGGGAAGAACGACAGCTTACTGGGCTGGGGTCATTAGACGTTCGCAGACTTCGACATTTCTATTAAATTTATAATATTAGAAAATAAATTAGAGAAATGTATAACTTCTGATAGGTACTTGGATCACTTAAAAATTTGAAAATGTGTCAAGATTCTTGAACAGTGGTACCGGTGGTGTGTAGTGGTAAGCGTCACTGTCTCTTTTTTCCAAAGGGCCTGGGTTCAATCCCAGTCGGCGCCATCAAGATTTTCTGAGGCATAAAGTGGATGGATCGATATGTAGGGTCCAAGTGTGGGAGCTGCCTCCCTGGCATCGGTAGCATTGGTAATAAGTACGGAATCAACTTTGACTATATGTTTTGTATTACTTCTGCGTGAAGTCAGCGATTTACATAGTTGAAGATGCTAATTTCAAATAACAGACTAAAGTGGTAATTTTTATACGATAGATGAGGAGATGAAAGTATAGAGTTGATAGTTCCGTTAGAGTACGCCAGTGTAAAAATTGTATATAGAAGGTAAAAAACGAGCAAGGACAACTTTTTAGGAATACCCTTCACCATCCCTCTCCAACGGGGGAGTTTGATAAAGAGAGATGATCAAACCGATTTGTACCTTCCTACACGAGAAAAAATCCGATTCCATTTTCATTTTCATTTTGCAGCGTTTGGTGGGGCAATGGGAGTGCAAGTCAATCCAAAGCCGAGGATAAAGGAAGGGTAATGGCTGAATAGTCTATGCGGACCACTTGAACGCCATGGGAAAAGGAAGGGATTGAAGAGGTCGGTTATTGGGGGGTTTTGAGGAAATGACACATAGTACTAGATTTGTGTTGCAAAATGTAAAGAAACCGAAAATCCATCTCCCACTGATTCATCCTTTCACATATATACCAAATCGATATTTTAAAGCAACCATCAAAATAAACAGACAATATATGAAAAGGCTAGTTGCCTCCCTAAGCGGACCCCCCGCATCCTTCCTCTTTTGTTAATCTACTTAATGTTATTAGGCTGTCTAAAGTTTCTTTTTTCAGTTCGTTTGATGATTATGATATCTCATTAGTCTAATTTAATAAATAATTGAAATCTCTAACTTACCTAATCAATCATAACTCATGCTTTATTAAGTACCTAAACTGCTATGTAATCTGAAATTTAACGTGTTTCAAGTAATTTTGACTTTGATCTATATTTATTATATCTTAGATCGACCCAAGTGACACCTTCAAGTGACTAAAATGCTTCACTTTTAAATAAGTTTCCTAGCTGATTTTTAAAATAAAAAAAGGTATATGCTCCAACTACACTCACTCATGCCAATTTTCTTATAATGTTTAGAATCAAACCAAAATTTTAGGGTAGTTTTATACATATATTTACTTCAAAAATCAAAAGAAAAGTTAATCGATGGAGCCTTGAGTGTAAAATTGAACGCATTTTCGCTTGATGCCCTCCATCAAAGTCTTTACAGTGTCATCCGGTACCAGTTTCTCAGTTTTTTTTTTCCATTTTCTTAACATGTCCTTCTCGTCTTTGACTGTCTTCTTGCTCTTCCGAAGTTCCCGCTTCATTATTGCCCAGTACTGCTCCACCGGGTGCAGCTCCGGACAGTTTGGCGGATTCATGTCCTTTGGAACAAAATGGACAGAATTGGCCTCATACCACTCCAGGACACTTTTAGAATAGTGGCATGATGCCAAATCTGGCCAAAATAGCGGAGCTTCGTCGTGCTGCTGCAAGAACGGCAAAAGGCGCTTCTCGAGGCACTCAGATTTGTAGATCTCGCCATTTACTGTGCCCTTTGTCACGAAAGGCTCACTCCTCAGTCCGCAAGAGCAGATGGCCTGCCAAATGAGATATTTGGAGGCGAACTTCGACATTTTCTTCTTCTTAAATTTATCGTCCACATCGAACTTGCTCTTGCCGGTGAAAAACTCCAACCCCGGACTTTGCTTAAAATCGGCTTTTATATACGTTTCGTCGTCCATCACACAGCAGCCATATTTTGTCAGCATCTTCTCGTAGAGCTTCCGTGCCCGAGTTTTAGCCGTCGATTGTTGCCGCTCATCGCGGTTTGGGAAGTTCTGTACCTTGTATGTATGTATGCATTCTGGACGTAGCTCTGCGACATGCCGATCTTTTTAGCCAAATCACGGCTTGAGACGTTGGGATTTGCTTTAATCATCCGCTTCACCTTTCCCTCCGTTTTTTTGTTCTCCGGTCCCGGTTTTCTTTCAGTTCCTTTGCCGTGGTCCAACGTCAACCGCTCCTGGAACCGCTTCAACACTCTGGAGACGGTTGAATGGTGAATGTTCAACATTTTTCCCAACTGCCGGTGCGACAGGTCAGGAAATTCCAGGTGTTTGGAAAGAATTTGTTCTCTCAACTCGCGTTGGTTCACCTACATTTTCGTTGAATCGAAAAACACGACTTCGAGTTTGACAGCATGTACACAATACACATCAATGAGAAAGTGTGCAAAATTTGATTGATTTTTACCCAATGGTAAAAAAGTTATGCCCTGTTGAATGTGTCGCAATAATTTCGTGTTCGCCCTTTATGTCACTATAGAAGCACGCCACAGTGAAAATCCCGAGCCACAGTTCAAACATTTATCCCAAATCAAAATGAAGCACATATAAGATAAGTTACAATACCATGTACAAAAATGATGTTTAACATTGTTCCCTGAGTAATGCTTCAACAATGAAAGCTTGTCACGCAAATAGAAGCAGCACCGTTGGGCACTTTCTGAAACATTTCAATAGTATAATTCCCTTGCAAACCCAAATAAATCTATCTGCGCAAAAATAAATAAAATAAGAGTGATTTGCGGCAAAACCCGCTAATATCACACCCAACGTCAGTGCCTATACGTGAGCGTACTACCAACAATCAATACGAAACTAACGATTTTAAATTGGCTCACCACTTTAGTAGCCTATTGGTCCCAAGCAAACGATTAACGTACCCTATTCTAGTCGACATTCTAGTTCTACGCAATGTTTGTTTTGATTCGCTATGAAAGTTTGACAGATAAAATGAGGGGTTATTGGTTTTTCCTATGTTTCGAGGGGTGATTCGACAAGCTTGGGACCGAAGATAGTACCAGAGGTGAGCCAAAAAGTTGAGCACGTTTCTACACGACCTACTTGTCTTAGAGTTATCTCTATGGTACTACGACGCGGCTTTCAAATAAAGGAGTAACAAGTGTGATACTATCACTTCAGGCTAGAACTGTGGTTCTCTTATGCAATGGTTCATCAGAGAGGGGAAGCTCAGTAATCCTCATCGCATGCTCATGACGCTATTCTGTCACGGCATGAGCCAACGATGCCGGACCTAAACCAACCGTCTCCAACGCTCCACTATGAAGCATTGTAGCGCGCAAAATGCGGCTAACGGTTTTCCGTCTTCTGGATCGTTCCCTGGCTCGATAAACGGACGGCTTAAGCGCCACCTCCAAGGAGGACCGTCCGTCGAGTCTTGTTTGCCCGGCTAGAAACCCGACCTCAGGGCGGGTTTGTTCAATCAGGACCAAAAATTTAATTTCAAAACGAAACAGAAGACTCAAACAGCACGATGGATCGAGATTCTCCACACAAAGAGGTCGCCACAATCGCGACGAGAGAATAGTTGATGCTACCGGTCGTTCTACCTACTCACGAAAACAACACTCACCAGTATCATCACCGGAGGAACTCACTTATTCAAAGATCCCCGCCGATCGAGACACGTGAGTGGAGAGACTGATTTCCCAGGCAGTCTAACCTGGCGTACAAGAACATCAACACTAAAAAGTAGAACGACGCGAAATGTGAGAATTCTCGAAACCAAAAAATAAGTTACATGGGAAACTTTAACATTTAACGGAAAAACATTTATTGGGGTAAACTACTATAAAACATTTAAGTAAGTTTATTTAATTGCATAACCTAGGTTTTCATTATTCGTGTTTCTTCCTCTCTAGTTCCCTACTGTGTGCGGATTTTGATCTAGTGATCGCTAGCTAGTTGTTCTCATCGAGCTCTTCGTGGTGTGTGTGTGTGGTGTCGTTAACGCATGCGCATGATTAGATTAATTGTTGGGTTTACTCACGGTACCGAAATAGCTGCCTGATGAATTGGTCGGCAAAGCAGATACCGGCTGGTTTGCGGCGGTATTGTGACTATCGCCCGAAATGCGGCGATTGGCGATGATGCTGCGGAAATTCCCAGTCGATGGATGGTCTCGAAGCTGGTACTGAAATCGCACCGAAATGAATTGGCGCTGTAGACGACGTTGGGGCCTCGATGTTTTATACGTGGCGGAAATGGCAAAATGGCCGCTCTGTCGAAACGGTTTGTTTCCTTCCGGCTTTCCCCTCAAGCCGGGACTTTTGACGTAGAATCGTGGAGTCGAGAGTCGCGCTTTATCTCGAGATGCGGGGTGCCGAGCTTCGGCCGTATATCGCTAGAAGCGAATCCTACATAAAAAGCCGTCGAACGGCTGTTCGACGCGTTAAAAATAACCTTTCCACACAAAACAATTATCCACGAATTACATTTTCTCTACGTACGCACACACAAAAATTGACCGCACGTTAACTTTGACCTAACTGCTGAACTTTAGGCTACACGAAGGAAACAAAAAGTAACATTAAATTCGATCACTAGACTTCTCACATTTTTATAGGTACCAATTGAAACACACCGCGACACAAGAAAACTATTTCACGCACTCTCGCCTCTTCCACGGTCCAGGTCAAAATGGGCGAGTGGACGTTCCGAAAACCCTCAGATCAAATCGTGATCATAGTCTTCGTGGCCGGAAGTACGACAATTACCGAAGTAATTAACGACCTTTTCAAACGACAAATCTCATCAACTACGATCTCGAGCCGATTGAACACTCTATCTCTTTCTCGCTCGTACTGTTTGATTAAACTGTCTCGCTTCAATCTATTTCTGGTTCGATTTTTTACGAGAGAGAATGTTCGGATTCGAACCTCGGACTTTACGACGAGTCTCGCAAACCAGTGAACGTTTCCAGTGGCGGATCAAATGAATTTTGGAAGGCAGCTTGTATGCAAGCGTTTCGTTTTTCTGCGGATTTACAATTCGTTTCATTTGTAATGGTGATTTCAATTTAATTTAAGTGAACATGTAGTTATTATGTAATGAATATAAATAATAAATAAATAACGTGAACGATAATTATTAATGGAATTCAAAAATAGATGGAAAAACAGAATATAAATTCAAATAAATAAGTGGCAATCCTTAAATTAGTTAAATTCTATTTAATTAAAAGTGACCATGCTACAGCATAAGATAAGGTCCAGGTTGAAAACTAGCCAAGGGGAGGGAGAAAAAATCCGATTCCATTTTCATGAATAAAAAATCATGAAATCAAAAAACTTGCCATTTCATGAAATCATAACAATGATTCATGATTTCGTTATGGAAATTCATGACTTCATAATGCAGTGGAATCATGACCGCTTCAAGCGTTACCTGGAACACCGTGTTCACCGTACTACATAGGCATCTCTTATACGCTTTTTGCCTTCCATCTTAAATAAGTACTGATAGTTTAGTGGTCAAAGTATGGGTTTAATGGTCGTAAGGTTCTTAGTTCGAATCCAGTCTGTTGCTTTATTTTTTATATGTTTTGGTTTAATTCATCATTTTATATGTTTTGGATGATTCATGATTTTGGGAATCTTGGGTGCGTTACGCAAACATAGCTCATGATATCTTGAATATTATTCATGGTGTATTTTCATAACATGATAATACGCTATGTCCATGAAATCGTGAGTCATTTTTCTCATTTCGGATTTTTTATTTGTTTCCGTGTCAAAATTTGTCCTTGCTCGTATTCTACCTTCTATATGCAATTTTCCCACTGCCGTACTCTAACGGAACTATCAACTCTGTATTTTCATCTCCTTATCTATCGTATAAAAATTACCACTTTAATTTTTTTTTGAAATTAGCATCTTCAACTATACGGAATTAAGATCGACGGAAAAAAATTAAATAAAAATCTTGAGCTTGCGAAATTTTTTAATTCTGAAAACTTATTAAAGTTACTGCAGGGGAGCATTCTCTCTGAATCCCTGTATTATGATTTTATGAGTATGAATAATATCATCAATTACTCCCAACTCATGCCCCACCCCCTCAGTCACCAATTTTGTAAGAGGTTATGCAGATATGTGAAGGCATTTTTTCGATCTCGTTTTCTTAAAACACCAGCCTCCCTGTGACGTCTTATGGATAATTATTTAAATTTTAGTTTATAGCCCATTCGACCTTTCGAGCATTCCACATTTGCTCGGATCGTGCTAATCGGGCTCGGACTATTTAATGACCCATCGAACAAATTCACCACTCTCCCCCATCTATTTATAAATTTGGTTTCACCCTTGAAGTACCTTCAATTGTACCATTAGGATGTTAATCACGTTCTTCTGCTTAAATAGCGCGTTCTTAAAATAGCTACAATCAATGTAATAAATCGTTACATCGAAATTTCCGAAAACGATAACTCACCCAAAACGATTGGATGCCACTGATGAAAGAGATCCCGTCAAAGAAGACTGCAACGGTGGCGATTTGAAGTGTGTCCCAGTTTTTCCTGCGTTGCGACTGCCACAGGCAACAAAGGCAGCAGCCTTACAATGAACATTCATCTCGTGATCATCCTGCTTGTGTCGGAATGCAGCCTCAGAACCACTTCCTTGGCAGCTTCCACCCTCGAGTGCCTTTGTTGCCGCCCTCATAGTGGATGGTGGTGGTGGTGGTGGTGGATGTGATGGCCTCAAGTCGTTAGCATCATTACCGCCGTCACTTTCTTTTTCAGCGATATTTTTAAAGCTATAATGGCGCTTTTGCTTCCTGAGTTTTTCCACCGCCACACCATATGCATCAGGCTTTTCCAGTATGCTGCTACTAGTGGTGCTGATGGTGGTATCGGCATTTGGTGATTGCTGCTGCCAATCGCGGTGGTGGTGGCTAGGAAAGGGCTGCTGATTGCTGTTGCTGCTGCTGCAACAGTCATCGGAAGCGGAGGAAGAAGGGTTCCCGCCGGAAGAGTGCCGATAATTGCGATGGTGATTATCGATGATGGTGATGATGGGGTTTGATGCTTTCTTGTTGCTGGGACGAGTGGCACTTGTACGGGTGCCATTAGGAGGGCTTTGGGATCGATCCAGCAGCAAGTCTATTTGCTGGTGGGCGAGGTTTTCGATTACATTGAAGTCACTTTTCAGGTTGGTCATAGTTGATGCTTGAGTACTCAGCAGGAACTGCGTTTCGACGGAGAGAAATGGAGATTAGTAACATCATATCAGAATTCATAACTTAAAGATTTAATTTTGATTACAATTCTAAATATTTCAAAGGACAAACAGAAACAACGCTGATTCCGTGTTGTAAACATCCAAACCACCCAACACGAAGCATTGAAACAAAGCCATCCAAAGCAGTTTCCAGATAACCCGGATGGAAATGCAAAGCACACATTTTAATGCTTTTGAATGTAGGTGACGTTTCGCAGCACTAGAAGAACCGCACCAAGTGCCTGTGTGACAAGGTGACAAAAACTTTTCTCCCCCCACACTCTCTTCCTCTCAAACAGCACCCAAAACTTACGTTCAATCGTTCGTTCTCGAGTGTTGCGTACAGCAGACGCTTTTCCGCTTCATTCCGGGCGTGCTCGAGACGCCGGCAGCGACTGGTGGCTTCCTGCAGCTTCCGATTCAGATCGGTGATAAGACCGTCTTCGAGCGTTTGTTTGTCACTTATCATCGTCTGCAATCGCTTAATTTCCCCCTCCAGTCGCTGTTGGAGCTGATCGGTTACCATCGCCTGGTAGCAGGCTTCCGGTTGAGGTTGAGGTTGGGACGGCTGCTCAGTTGAAGCCTTTGACTCCTTTGTGTCGAGCTGGGTCAGCAACCGGGCCTGGAAGGGTGGAAAGATGGCTGGTGTTAGCTTTTTTCGGCAAGTCACGTCTAGATAAAAAGGGTTAAAGTTGCGCTTAGCTGTGTCCACGGTTTTGGGTTTTTGTTTTGTTAAGGTTTAGGTGATGAGATGGTTGTTCTGGCCCCATGAGATAAGCAATAGCAACCATTTAAATTGATTGGTTGGTTTGTTAAGAAGTTTAATGTTCATGATATTGGAAATAAATGGTATCTAGGATACATCCAAACGCACCCACATGATGGACATTACTGCTAATTTCCTATCGTACTGGAAAAGTACCATCCCTCGTTATCTTCCCAATCTTGCACCAAACTCCAGTTTAAATTTCCTGCAAATAACTAGAAACCACATCACGTCTAAATAGCAGCACAGCTGGTATTTGAACCACGACTAGAGACCAAGGTCCCCTCTCCACCCCGGCAGCCCAGCGAAGAATCATTACTGAAACGTCAGAGCACGCGTATACCGTCCTCGTTCCGACTAACATGACCTAAAACAAACACAATTATCAGAATACATACAACCACACCGTGTCCCGTGAGTCTTCTGATCCACCTTGGAAGGAATCCCTCGCCATCGTCGCCTCTTTGGCACTGATGGAATCCAATATAGCTAGTCGTCGTTGGTCGCCGGCGTCGGTCGTCCGTCAGTCACGCAGCGTCGTTTCAACACCATTTCGTGTGCAAATATCCGCGTGTCTTGTGTGGGCACAAATCATCATGTCTTCGGAGCTGTACAGTCCATTGCTGCGATGCCCTAGATTTACCTTGTTTAGGTAAGCAACCAACATTCTGAACTGAAAAGGTGAGCTGTATCCCGGAAAAGTTATTTGCTCTATTTCCTGGCAGTGGAGCAGTTTGAACATGTTTGACGCAAGTTTTAAAATGCGTTCACCGATGGTTTGAGGGTTTGCAAATTAAGGATTCATAAAACTGGTTATTTGATTTAAAGCAACGAAGTCTGCACGGTTCTACAAAGCTCTGGTATAAATGTATGGTTTAGAATTAGCTCACAAGAAATGTTGCTCTCCATAGTGCTCCACGGTGTCCCTGTGATCGTTATTATCAGTGAAACATTAGGGTAGGGCTTATTTTTCAAAATCTTTCGGGGACACGTTTTCTCATGTGGAAAATGATTACTAGGGTCAAACGAACAACATATCCAAAAATGAGCGTTTTTCGTTAAGATTTAGAGGTGGCGCCAGAGGCCTAAATCCAATATATCGAACGAAGCTGATTTTCGTACATTAGCATTAATGCATTAATGCGTTTGGTACGAAACTTTAGTTAATAAACTACGGAACGAAGTCAATGAGAACGCGTGATATGAAGGTTTGCACCCATTATTCCCAAAAACAAAAGAAGCGCTCCGACCGAATAAATTTTTATCTTCATCCGATAGGCCGAAGTGAATTTATTGCCGTTTATGGCATTTCAATGCGTTAGGCCAAGATTACAATCCGTAGGCCGAGTTTGGTGTCAGAAAGCAGTGTTAGGCTTTTGACAATATCTCAACGATTGGTTTCTCTTTATCAAATCTTACGGTACATACGGAAAGGTAAATAAGTTTGGAAGCGATCAATAATAATAACATTCCGTTTGATGCTAAACTGCGCTAGATTAAGAAAGACTAAAGTGCGGATTGTGCTAAACAGGTGGGAAATTCTCCTAGCCCGGATGCAATTCCTGCTGTTGTTCTCCGTCGCTGAGCCGTAAGTCTTCATTTTCAACCACTCGTTCGAGCAAGGAGAATTTCCAATAAGCTGGAAACTGTCTCACATGTTTCCTGTGCACAAAAGCGAAACCCGGCGAGATGTCAGAAACTACCGTGGGATAACCAGCCTTTCTGCCGCTTCGAAGCTATTCGCGATCATCGTTAGCGATTATATTCTGCGTGCTACAAGGATCCACATCTCGACCGATCAACACGGATTCATTCCCGGCAGGTCCGTAGCTACGAATTTGTTGGATCTACCACCTGTTTTACGTCTATGAAAAAAAAGCACAGATAGACGTAAACCATACGGACCTGAAGGCGGCTTTCGAAAAAAATCGATCACAAAATGTTACTCAGGAAATTATCACGATTGGGAGCCTCTAATAGACTGGTGTCATGGTTTTCATCGTATCTGACTGACAGGGTGCTGCATATTAAGCATGGATCTTGTGTTTCATCGCCATTTGCTAGCACGTCTGGCGTCCCACAAGGAAGCAATTTGTACGCAGCATCGAGGATTGTCTTCTACTGAAAATGTAGCTTGTTCGCTGGAATCGCTTGAATAAACCTGTCATCAGCATCGTAAAATGCTACGTGATAACTTTCCATCGTTCCAAAGACCCGATAATTTATGAATACCACATCGATGATACGGTGCTTGATAGGGTGGACCATGTGACCGATCTTGGTGTTGTGTTGGATTCGAAGCTCTTCTTCCATTCCCATTACGCATCGATTATTTTCAATGCAAACCGTCAACTTGGCTTTATCTCCACAATTGCCAAGGACTTCACGGATCCACACTGTCTCAAAGCGCTATATTGTACCATCGTGCGGTCGATTCTAGAAAAAAAAAACCTTAACTCGTATGGGCTCCAAACGACGTTACATGGAACCTGTTGGCCGCACTGGCCTGAGCGCACCTTCCGTTGTGTCAGAACATCCCTGCAGTGGGTTTGACAGTGGAGTGACAGGTACCGACATGCGTAAATGGCCGTGAAAATGCAGCGAGGCGGGCTGGCGGAAGATCGGCCATATATGGTGGGCTGGGTGTTGTTTGCTGGTTCTTGCACCACTGGCAATCTTTCCGTACTCGCTCGTAATAGGCGCGTAGATGAGGGATGCGAAACTTCTGCCGTATTTCATTGATAACGGTTTAGTGGTTTTGGTGGTGTTAAGAACGAAAGCAAGAAATTCCTCTTGAGTGACGTTAGGACGGTGAAAGAGCTACTGTTGCCCCAGAAAACGATAGACATGGCTGAGTTGTCACAGTTGTATCCATACCTTTAAGATCTGCCGATCGAATCTTATCGCGACGCTCGTCGGGAATGAAGAACGCCCAGCTCAGTCTTGGCCTCAAAAATCGTGAAGGGGGAATCGGTCAACCAATCGCTATAAAGACGCGCCTCGGATGGACGGTATGCGGAGGATACGGTTCCGGGAATGACGCCAGCCTACACCATTACACCTTCCACGTTTGCCTCTGTAGTGTGAAATCAGACGAGGACTTGCACCAGGCTATGAAGTACTACTTTTCATTAGACAGTCTCGGGGTGAAAATGAACGAGCATTTTCATTGCTTCAGTCGCTGACCCGTCGTAAAGATAATTATAATCGATACGAGTCCGGGTTGCTGTGGCGATACGATGACACCCGATTGCCAGACAGTCGATCAATGGCGCTGCGGCGATTGCAGTGCCTAAATAAACGGATGGAGAAAGACCCGCAAATGTCAAAGATCCTGCAATCAAAGATAACCGAGTATGTGGAGAAGGAGTACATCCGGAAGCTTACAGATGAAGAAATCAACCAGAAGATTCAACGACGCTGGTATTTGCCAATTTTTCCCGTAACCAACCCAAACAAACTTGGGAAGGTGCGAATTGTGTGGGACGCAGCAGCTATCGCTCACGGCATGTCCTTGAACTCAGCGCTGGTAAAAGGACCGGATCTGTTGAGCTCCTCTCTCCGGAGAGTGCAGTTTTCGAGTGTATGTTCACCATGGAGGTGCGGCTCAAAACGGCGTCTGTTCTCCATGTTAGGAGCGGCTGATCAACGTCCTGTTACCAGTGTGGGACTCTAAACAGTGCTGTGCACGATAGTCCCCCGGCGAGACAATGGGGTTGCAGGCACTACAAGTCAGCCGTAAAAAAAAACAAAAGTACAGGAAGCAAGCAATGTAAATAAACCAAGTAACAATTTTGGTTTTATGAGGGTTCTGTAGACCATGATTCAGGCTTGTAGCATGCTTTAAAACTACTATAAAACTTAAAATGTTACTTGGGACGGACCGGAACAATCGACATAGACCCAAGCAACGGAAACGGACTAACGATTGGAAACTCGGAACATGGAACTGCAAGTCTCTCAATTTCTTGGGAAGTACCTGCATTATCTCCGATTCCGTAGCGCTGCAGGAGGTTTGCTGGAAGGGATCGTCGGTACATACGTATAGGGATGGTTATACCATCTACCAGAACTGTGGCAATACCCATGAGCTTGATACAGCTTTCATCGTGATGGGCGAAATGCAGAAGCGCGTGATTGGGTAGTGGCCAACCGATAGCAGAATGTGCAAGTTGAGGAACAAAGGCCGTTTCTTCAATGTCAGCATAATCAACGTGCACAGCCCTCACTTAGCAAGTGACGATGAAGGTAAAGACGCTTTTTACGCGCAGCTGGAACGGGAATACGACAGCTGTCCAAGCCATGACGTCAAAATCGTCATCGGAGATCTTAACGCTCAGGTCGGCCAGGAGAAGGAATTCAGATCGGTTATAGGAAAGTTCAGCGCTAACCAGCTAACGAACGCCAACGGCCTTAGACTCGTCGATTTCGCCATCTTTAAGAACATGGCCATAGTACTTACTTCCAGCATAGCCTCCCATATCGGTACACCTGGAGATCACCGCAGCAGACATAATTGCAAATCGACCACGTTTTGATCGACGGAAGGCACTTCTCGGACATTATCGACATCAAGACCTATCGCGGCGCAAATATCGATTCGGACCACTACCTTCTAATGGTCAAGGTGCGCCAAAAACTTTCCGTTGCCAACAACATTCGGTACCGACGCCCGCCACGGTACAATCTGGAGCGACTGAAGCTGCCCGAAGTCACAACTAAGGACGTGCAATGCCTCGACGCAGCGTTGCCGGATGAGGGAGAGCTCACCGAAGGCCCTCTGGAGGACTGCTGGACCAACATGAAAGCAGCCATTAACAGCGCTGCTGAAGGCGCCGTTGGGTTCGTGGAGCGGA